GTAGTTTCGGATCTTGTGCAAGTGGGGCTCCCAAAAATGTCACATTGAGAAGGAACGCGACGAGCGTGGCTCTTCTTTCAACCGAGGAACGAGTCAGTTCGTCGGTTGGTGGAGCCTGGAGTCACAGCATTCTGAGAATCGTGGTGGTTTCGGGTAAATCCAATTTATTATATCATGAAATGTACAGGATTGCCCTAGAACTGGTCTCACTCTCTCATTTCCCTCTCTCATTTGCCCGTGGTCTCTTTCAGGCCCAGACACAAGAACGCTCTGTGCGGGAGACTTCGGTACCCTGCCGCATCTCCCTCAGTCGGCTTATCTGACGACGGACCGACCCCCCTCCCTCCTCTTTCTGTCTTATTTTCCCGTGAGGGTCAGACAACCTGCGGCGCCGTGCGCGTAGAAAATCGTTATACTTGGAATTTTACCGTCTGCAAAGTCTGCACCACTGACGTAGACGAATGTGTTATTTTTAGGGAACGCTCTGAAGGGTAGATTTCGCGTTTTAGGAATTCCCTTTCAAAACTCATGACATTTTATGAATAAACACAGCCAATGTACGTGCGAGCAAGAAATAAGAAGACTGTTCTGTCAGAGGAACCGTGAATCCCTGGACTTTGCATCGGCAATATTGAAGGACTTCCCTTTGGGCAGATTTAAGCAGCACGCGTGGTTTACGCTGTGGAAGCGGTATAGAGAAGGTCCCTACTTAACTGTCAGTAGACTGTGGATCGTGCCATACATGATTTACGGTAAAAGGAGTTTTATGGGGTGGGGCAGCACGCTAGACAGTAAGCTGACAAAATGAAATAAAACACAGAAATTGCCTGGATTTATGCCGAAAGTCTTATCCCATGCTATTGTATGATAACGGAAATGAGAGCAGTAAGTAAACAATAAACGAAAAACAAATTTCACAAAATAACCATTTTTGAGTTAAGGTATGGGGCCGTGGGAAGTAATCTTTGTTGGTGGTGCAGTTTCTGAAACTGCCTCCAAATGTATGCTAAGATAAAACCCCATACTGGCAGGTAAGTGGCATCCTTCTCTATACCGTTGCCTACGCTGTCAACGAGTAGCTAATTTTGCAAGTCACGCTTGTGGTGGCCCTGCAATGCACCGACTTATTTCCTGCGCTTCGGAATGATTAGAGCTCTGAGTGCATGTAGCTGACCGCAATCACGTAAAAGTAAGACATCGGAGATAGGTCACGCGTCCAGAGGATTTGCTTTTATCAAGTGAGCACTCGAAGTTTCTTTTTTTGGTGCTCTTTGCGATGATACATATGGCGATTTGCTGATCATTGATGTGTCGAAAGTTGTGTGGTCGACAAGACAAAGATTTCCAATCGAAAGTCAGGGAAGACGCAGGGGGTTTTGGAAGTGCGTACGCAAAGGCCCTGCGGGCAGTCGCCGCGAGCACGCTTTCCAGGCCAGTTGTTCGCTGTGTCCGCCTTCGAGGTGCTGCGACCCAGCGCGTGTGTGCGCCTTTCGTTATCTTCGCATCCGCCAGCCAATCAAAGGGGGGGACAACGTTGATTGGCCTGGAGCACCCGTGAAGCTAGTGACAGGCCTCACGTGTCCCAGCGGCGTATTGACAAGGCGAGTGCGGCGGAGGGCAAGGAGACGCCGAATTGCCATATATACGTATGAGTGTCTGTTGTCCCCATGTAACGGGCATCCAGCAGATGCACTAAAACAAAAATAGGGGCCAAATTAGAGTTCAGCATGCGTTTTTGGACTGTGAACCCATGACGAATGTCAAACATGGGGTGTGGTGGAACGCCAAGGCGCAGGCCTACGACGCGCCGGCCGCCAGCACCCGGTCTTCCTGTCTCTGTCTCGACACCGAGCTCAGATGGGTGGGGAGGAGGAGGGTGGAGGAGCGAGTGCGGCAGACGCAGCGCAAGCCTAGTGTCCTTATAAACTAATTCACGTGCAAGTTGCAGTTGCCGCACCCACCCTGCCATGGGACACACGGCGGATGTCGTCGAAAACGACGGTCGAACTGCATTGTGTGATTGCCTACTTTCGTGTGAAAACCTGGTGTTCATAGGTGTTTTGGCAGATTTTCATTAATTCATATTGACCCAACTGTGAAAATCTGCCAAAACACCTATGAATTACATGAGCCTGGTAGTCATCTGGTGGATTCTAGGTGATTTACTCAGGAAATCCTGCTTGGGTAGTCAACTTACCGCATCAGATTTGGTGGATTCCAGACGTTGCAGTAGGTTGGGCGGGTAACGTGACCCAAATGTGAATAAGCACGCGTCGTCCGGCGGGGCCTCGTAGCTCAAGTGGTTGGAGCGTTGGCTGTAATAAAGCCTTCCCCTTACTGCTTGGGTTCGAATCCCACCGAGGCGCCGAGTTTTTCACGGTTAGGTCAATATGAAAACCTGGTGTGTTGTGCGGGGCCCAGGTCGTGTGTGTGTGACACGCACAGGCGGGCTGTTTAAATTACTCCGCCACTACACCCGATCCCAGCATCAGATGAGTGACCGGTCCGGTGTCCGGGAAGTAGAAGTCTCTGGGGACTACGTCCCTACGGCATTCAGCACGTATTCCTCATTACTGACAATCTAACCCACTTGAGACTCTCGTGATGCGTTTAAAACCGTTACTTGGGAGGCCCTAAACTGGGGCGATAACTCGGTCCTCCTGAGAATCAGAATGCAACGTCTCCTCCCTAATGTGGCCTTCATAGCACTCCCAACACGTTGGGATCAGAACCGTCGCCCTTCTTGTTTGTGCATGAAAACCTGGTCATATATGCGCTGACCGGGCTTGCACAGGACGCGTAGACGGGCTATTTAGCTTATTTTGACAATGCGTCTCATTCCTCCTCCGGTCTCCTCAACTTCTTGATATCGAGCCCAGGTGGGCGGAAGGGAGAAGACAGCGTGATAGATTCTGTGTATGTTTACTACCATTATAACCTAATTCACGCGCATGTCACCGTCTCTGCGCTATGGGACACATGGTAGAAATCGTCGGTAACGGCGGTCTTGCTGTAAAAACACTGGACCACAATGTGTACAGACTGGGGCTCAGCACGAGTTAACCAGGCCATGCAGCGTCGGCGTATCGCATAACAAGTGCTATAAAGCGACAGTTTGACCATCGTTGTCGACGATGTCCACCGTGTGTTTTACAGCGAAGTGAGGCAGGCACGGTGACTTGCGCGTGATTTAATTCATAGTGGATACAGACTTGGGCAGTATCTACCGCACTCCCCCCCTCCTCCCCTGCCTGGGCCCGGTGTCGGGACCAAATCAAGAAAACCGGAGGCGGTGGATGGCGCGCCCGAGCCCGCATCTTCGTCCTCCACTCCACACCCCCTGGTTCACACAGCAAATGATCAGGATTTAAGTCAACAACAGCACCACAACTGGCCAAAAGGACGAGGTTGACTGGACAGTCATGCTCATGACCTGTATACTCAACGGGAGCGCAAGTGCATCTACCGGCAGGGACGCAGGTGAACTATAAACGCAGACCATGCTGCGAGGACCGAGATTTGCTGGTCCTGGCATAGAAGACGCTTACAAACCCTTAGGCCCAGAACGGTCCTGCATTTGTCTGGGCCATCACCCTTCAGGACTGGGCAATTAAACAGTAGTCAATTGAGAGGCATTGCCTATAAAGCACACACACAACACTCCTCACATGCATGAGTGTCATAGATCGCTTAAGAAGGAGCTGTGACAGCCTGGCTCTCAGCCAAGCAGCCCGCCACCCCCCACAAACACATACAACTGGACAGACTGCGTGGACTGATTCGTGGCGTCAGTCGACAGCCTTCAAAGCCACAGCACTCGGCACACCGTGAAAGTATCAGACTCTGGTCACGCATGCAGCAGAGGAGTCGCGTGGAGAATGGGTCGAGAAGCACACTTTCTTGGGAGGTGGCAATGGGATGCTTGCGATGGGTGATGGTGTTGTGTGGTGCGCGTGTAGGTGGGGGAAGGTGTGATGGTGTGTTCTAGCCGGCGGTTATCTGACGTAGCCTTTCATGAATGAGCAAGTATCCAAATGATTCCATGCTGTAAGTGGCTGTGCGGCCGCAGTGAGGGTAGTGGAGTCGGATGAGGCGAGTGTATGTTGGTGCTCCTGGTACTGGTTAGCCAGTCTCTGTACGATGGATTAACAAGTGACCAACCAGGCCAATGTGTGAGGTGAATGTAGGGGGACGGTGTAGACAGGAAAAGTCGGCGGTGTCACTGTCGGTTTCGGAGATGGTAGCAGTGGTGGAGCTGTTGATGGTGGACACGCTGGGTGACGGGATGACTGTACGGGGACAGTGTTAGCAGGATAAGTTGTGATCATCAGAGTCAGTTTCAGTGTGATGGTTGTAGAGGCGGACGCACTGGGCAATGCGGTGTAGGTTGAGCTAGGCATAGTGGGTGTGCTGAATGTGCTAAGGATGTCGAGACTGCGGTGAATTCCGCAGTCCTGGATACCCATGTGACCGAATAGGCCCAAGCGGCGGCTGGAAGTACGGGAACGGTAAGGGCAGTTGAGGTGGATTCGGCAAATGTATGTGAGTTCTCCGGGCACTGGTTTGCCAGCCTATGTGCGATGGATTTGCAAGTGACCAACCAGGCCGATGTATGAGGTGAAGGTGCGATCTGAATGGGGACAGGTATGGACCGAGTCCACATCGTTGGTTTTGACAATGGTGAGGTTAATGTTCGTCGGTGTGTCAGGATCGTGTGCAGTGATGGTGGGTACAGAAGCCGCCGCAGCTGACGTTGAGGCGATGGAAGATGGCAGTGGGAGTTCAGGAGCGCGGTCAGTAATGGTTGTTAGTGTGGGGGGACGATGCAGAGATGGACGGAGAGGACATCGGGTGGTGTTGTCCGGGTGCTGTAGTTGGTTCGGGGATGTTCAATAAGACCGATTGGTGCCGGGAAAGTCAGCTTGCATAGTGGGTTGGTCGGCGACAATTGATTGTTGGCTTTCCGAGGTGGGTGCAGTTGAGATTTGTGAGCTTTACGTTTAACTTTGGCGTCGGCGAAACAGGTGGCTTCGTAGATTGCTGCGCCTGTCTTCACTGCCCTCCTCCAGGTCGGTCACGGCGACGTCTTCCAAGTTGGCTGGGTTGATCTTCAGACGCTTCAGGGTATCCTTGTAGCGTCGGACTTGACCTCCTTGTCGGCAGGAACCCATGACGACATCTTCATAGAAGAGCCGTTTGGGTAGCCCCTCGTCGTCCATCTGCACGATGTGGCCGCTCCAACGCATTTGCTGTTGTCTCAGCATGACGCAGATGCTGATGACCCTCGTCCGCTCCAGTACATCCGTGTCCGGGATCCGGTCCTGCTACCTCAGCTTCAGTATCCATCGAAGAAAGCTGAGGTGGGAGGGGTTGAGCCTTCGCGCCTGCTTCGTGTACACGTCGTGGTCTCCGATCCATGCAGCAGGGCGGGCAGGGTGACCGTCTTGTACGTTTTCATTTCGGGGTTGAGATAGAGGCCGTAACGATTTCAGACGGTGTTTTACAGACGGCCGAAGGCTTGGCTTGCCTTGGAAACCCAGTGGGCCACTTTGTCTTCGATTTTATCGCTGCAAGAAAGGGTAATGCCCAAACACGTGAAGTTGTCCGAGGCTTGCATTTGGGCGCCGTTCACATTGATCTGGGGTGCATTGTAGGCAGCGTAGGGTGGCGGTTGATGCATAGCCACAGTCTTTCCTATGTGGATTATCACGGCTAAGTTTTTGCAGGCGGCGGCGAAGGGATGCATACTCCTGCGTTGAGGACGCAGTCTTTGACGACGGGAAGCTAGTGGACGATGGATGTGTATTCACGCGACTGGAAATGCATCCGTCGTTGGTTGGGGAGCTGGCCGACTGTCCCGTAGCCGACGCGGATCTCGGGACGTTCATCCCGGTAGGCTTCCATTAACATGACAGAGAACATGAAACTGAAGGGGATAAGTGCAAGGACGCAGCCCTGTTTCACTCCGCTGGTCACTGTGAAGGCCTCTGAGACAGCTTTATTGTCTGTGGCGGGTGCCATCTGAGTGAAGCGTTCTAGACAACCGAATTTCTGCATGATTTTTCATAGTACTTTACGATTCATCGTGTTGAAAGGTTTCGTCAGATCCACAAAAATTGACTAGAGGTGGATCGGCATCTCCTTACACTTCTCCTGCAGGAGGCGGGCAGCGAAGATTATTTCGATGGTGCCGCGATGACGTCGAATGCCACACTGGCTTTCTGGCAGGAGTCCTTGTTACAGATGCTTGATGGGACGGTTAAGAAGGATGCGAGGAAAGATCTTTACGGCGATGTTGAGTCTTGGTGGTTGTCGCAGAGTTGGCGGTTTCCTTTCCGCCGGTAGAGAAGGACGATGGTGGCGTCCTTGAGATCCAAAGGGACCAGTCCCTGGCGCCACATCTCCTGGAGGAGCGCCGTCAGGTAATCCATGAGTTGGGGACCACCGTGCTTGTAGATTTCAGCAGGCATCGCGCCCGATTCGGGGGCTTTCCCGCTGAAGAGCTGTTTCACAGCCTTGGTCGTTTCATGTAGAGAGGGCGCGAGGTCGAGGTCGACGTTGGTGCCCATTTGACGCAGACCGGCGATGTCGGCGTCGGGCCTAGTGAAGGGACGGTTGAGGACGCTTCTGTAGTGCTCGACCTATCGCTTCAGAATTTGAGTCTTCTCATTGAGCAGGGTAGTTCCATCGGCGCTAAGAAGAGGATCGCTTCCTTTGACAATGGGACCGTAGACAGTCTTGATCGCGGAGAAGAGATTCTCCCTTTCGTTGCTGTCCGCGTACTCTTAGATCTCCTCGGCCTTGTGAGCTGTCCAGGCCTCCTGTATCTCCCGCACTCGCCGTTGCACAAGGCGATGACTACGGTGGAAAGCTGCTTTGTTATGATCTGTGGGGCGGTCAACGTAGGCTATTTGCAGGTCGCTAATGGCGGCGTCGCTGTCCCTAAATCCGTGCTGATGCTGGCGATGTACGCGACGGTGGACGCGCCAGGCTGTTAACTGGACTGTCCCGCAGTTGATACTATCAGTTCTCCAAGGAGGCGTTCTCTTCGGCGGCCGCGGCGGCGACCGGAAGGTTCATCGTTGAAGTGGGGATAGTGAGCAGACATAGACTGCAAAGCAATATTTAACTTACCTGGGGGCCACCTACCTTGAGGTCTCCTGCGAAGCTGTGGGCGAATCCGCATAGTGGAGATGACGAGATGATGGTCGGTCTATCCGTCGGCACATGCGATCGCTTTTGTCATTAGCACGTCCTGTTAGTCATGCCTTCGAACAAGGACATAGTCTAGCAGGTGTCAGTGTCGCGAACGAGGGTGTATCCGGGTAGCCGTCTCACGCGCCAGAAGGCTGAAGAAAGTGTTGGTCAGGATGAGACGGTGTTCTGCGCGGGTTTTTAGGAGGAACAAGCCGCCGAGACAGTGGGGACTCATCACTTCTCTTCAGGCAGCATATTTTGTGCCGACGCTGGCGTTGAAGTCACAAGGGGAAATCAACCTATCCGCCTTCAGCGTAGACACCAGGAGGGCGTGCAGGTCCCCGCCGAAGTTGTTCCTTGCCACGTCAGTGCTGGCCATCGGGGACGTGGACGCTGATGATGGTGACTGCCACAAGGAGGCGTATGGTGGCGCTCCTGGGTGCATGTTTACGACGCGCCAGCATCTTGTTCACAATCTTAGCATCAGATGGCTGATCGGGTTCGACAGCGGACTGGGAGAGGGAATGACGGGATCAATTCTGGGACCCCGTCATTTGGCCACTCAGCGTATTTCTTACTAGAACCACTGTCGCGCATTGGATCTACCACGACGCTCTGAAATCCGTGGCTTGGAAGGCTACCAAGTGACGGAATAACTCGGCTCTCTCGGGGACAGAGAGTGGGGCTCCAATGGCTTCTGCTTAATATAACCTCTATAGCGTTTGCACTCTGACTGGATGCAAGCCGTCCCTTTTTGTGTAAACACCTGGTTCACTGTGCACGGAATGGGTCGTGGGTGCACAGTGTAGACAGGCTTTTTAGCTTTGTCCGTCACTGCGTCTGATTCCGCTTCCGATCGTCCTGTCCTCGTCTCCCCAACGGCTCCATGCGGGTGACGGGGTGGAGATTGCAGTGGATGCTGGGCAAGTTTGCTATCGCTGTAAACTAATTCATGCGCAAGTCACG